GACTTGTTGGCACAAAAGCTGTCTACGGGTAAAATATAAAAAAGATGGCACCACATCAAATTTATGGTGATATTTGAGAAGCAGATATCATATTTCAAAAGCGATGGTGAAAAGTAAATGAGTAAAAATTGAAAAACAAAAATGTGGAAGCAAATATGAATTTCATGTAATGGCAGAATCTTCACAAGGATCATTAGTAGAGGTATTTAGCAAGGCAACAAAATATTCATCCAATCACCCAAAACAAAAAAAACTTAACAGCAATCTTGCTGCTTTTATTACTGAAGAACTCCAACCTTTTTCAATTCTAAAGTCACAAACTTTAATAAAAATAATAGAAGACCTAGATCTTCAAGCTAATGTTTTAAGCAATGATCAGTTGAAAGAAATTTTGATCAACGCTGAGGATAGAATTTTGCAAAGCATGCATAAGCATGTACATGATGATAATAAAATTTGTTATATTTCTTTTACTACAGATATGTGGACGTCAGATAATGATGGTTCATACATTGGACTTACATTTTATTGGGTGAATGGAGACTTTCAAGTACAAGAAATGATTGGTGAGATTTCGTATCTCCCGTACTTTCATATGGCAGAACGACTTGTAGACAAAATAATTGAAATTTTAAACAAATTTAATCTTATAAATAAAGTTGTATATGGTACAATCAATAATAGTCCGAACATTAAGTCATGTTTAAATAAGTTAGAAGATAGGTATAATATATTTAAAAATTTTTGTTTTGGTCATACCTTACAACTTGCAATAAGTGACACGTTAAAGAGATACCCTAAAATAGTCAATCTTATTAAAAAATGCAAGGATAAAATATCACTCTACCAAGTAGCAGGTCTAGAGTTTAAATCTCATGAATGAAGTTTTTGAAAAATAGGCTATATTATAGTAATTAGAGTACTAACTATCAAATCATGGAAATTTGTAGCTTGATGATCTTTGACGGTACTACAGGAGGGCTAAATTCGAACTGGGGCCCGAGATTGGAAAACCGAGCGACCAGGTCCACTGGCAGAGGACACACTAGCCGAACTGCCAGGTTGTTGCCCCGAAGGAAAAGGCATATGCTCCAAAAGTATGAACCAAAGGGAGGGCGTTCTTCAGGCATCTAAAGCCTGGGCAGACCAACCCTTCCGGATTGCCGGCTGAAAGTAAGAGATGGACTGGTAAAGAATCCAGGTAAGAAGACAGTTCAAATGTGGGTATTGGGGTTGTTGTGAACCGAATAAGGGCAAGAAGTACGTAATGAGTGCCTAGTTAGGAAGGTTGGTGTTTAAGAAACGTCTGTAAAACGGCAGCACCCCAAAAGGTGGTGTGAGATACACATATGAAACAGCAGGTCAATATGTACTAATTAGGAAGAAGTTATAGAAACATGCAGGTGTGAGACATGTATCGCTTTGTTAGGTTTACCTTGAGGATAGACTAGCTTATATTAGTAAGTTCTAAGATAGGGTGCAAAATCCAAATTGGGTAGATGCAAAATCCATGTATGAATGGTGAGTAATATCCATAGGTTAGAGAGTGGATAATGGTAGTTAGAACCAGATGGTTTAAATGGGTACCCCCATAGTTGGGATACAGGTATGGCAGATAGTGTGGAACTCTTAGCGTAGTACTAACATTTCGGGCAGACTACTTAAATTAGGCACCAAAAGTACACGTGTGGCTTAATATACCATCGTTGTAATTATATTATAAAACATCATCTATACTCTAATAAAAAGTCCTCAGGCCAAAGAGGTCACCTTAATACCAAAAAAAAAAAAAATTTGTAGCTTGAGTCATACTAGAGTATATTCTTGAAAGATCTGCTAGTATTTGTATTATTTAAGAAAACTCTAAAATTACAAAGAAATGCAAACTAGTTTAAAGCGATACAAACACTCAATAAGTTCAAGATTGACAGTAAATCTTAGAGATTATTCCAAATACAAGAAACTTATTTAGAAAAACCCATAGTAGCTAACCTTTAATAGTACTACAAAATAGAAAACTATATTGAAAACTTAACCAGAGGCCTGATAATCATAAACCTTATAAATTTAGAGTTATACCAATCTAGTCACCAGAGTTATACTGAAGAAAAAGAATATATACTCTGAAAGTATATATCAAATAAACTAACTCTTTTAGGCTAACTGGATTGATAATACAGATATCTCTAGAGCTGAACTTGTATATTGGAAAGAAAGTTAGTATCAGGTTAGTTGTAAACCTATTAAGAGCAGAGGATATATAGAAGTAACACCCAAGTACTAACTTAGATTTAAAGACATAATATCTCTAATACCTAATTTAGAAATATATAGGACATAGAAAGGTTAAAGCAGACACATACAGCTAAAGCCTATCTAGATAATACCAAAAAATGTAACTAAAAAATTACTAATATAAATAAAGTTAGTGGCAGGTTTGAATATAAAAATACTAAAGTTAATAAAATTACTAGCAGGTGGAATTGGCCAAAGAGTTTAAATAAGTAATCCTAGTTTGGGTTGCAGGTACAAGTACTTAGTATACAGTATACACAGTGTTGGCAATTTTTGCGGCCAAACAATTTTTTTGGGCCGGCCAACTGGCCAACCAGCCAATGGCCATTGGCCAATGGCCAAACTTTGGTCAAAAATTTCTAATTTTGTAATATTAGCCAATCATATTACTAGCTTTTATTATATAAACTTTTGGCTATTTCGGCCAAAAAAAATTTTTCAAAAATTTGGCCGTTGGCCGCGGCCATTGGCCGTGGCCACTGGCCGGCCAAATACCTATGTGACAACACTGAGTATACAGTGCCAAAAACATAGTAGCTAGTTGTACTTTTACTATAAACACAGCTTGTAATAAGGTTTATATAACTGCCAATAGTTAAAATGCTAATAAACTCTAGCCTTTGAACACTTAGCCAAAAAAATAAATAAAATAAGCTAAATAGTTATTTTTATATATTATACAGTTAATCTTTTATATAGTTATCTTTTATATACAGTAAGTAATTATATTTTTATTTAGACTAAACTTTAATTTAATTTATAAGAAAAAAACCTTTATATAAACACAACCTCTTTATAAACACATTTTTAAAAAAATTTACTATATACTTAGCTATGTGATTGTATAGAAGGACAACTGTAATCTTATAATCTTTTATATTGTACTACCTATATTAAAGATTAACCAAAAATATATACAGTCTACTTTTTCTATACCAAACTCTCAGTTCTGGCCAAAAAAAGTCCATTATATAAAATTACTATGTTTTTTTAATAGCCATAACTCTTGTTATACCAAACTAATATTAAAATTTAAGTTCGTTATATCCAGAGTTCGTTATAAAAAGATTCTTTATATCCAGAGTTAACTGTATATCTTAAAAGTTTCATACAAATTAAATAACTTTTTATTAATACATTTTTGCATTTTATACTTTAATATAAAGAAAATTACTACATATCACCACTGGTGATCATCACCGGTCCTAAGATTAGTTAGGGTTAGGGTTAGAAATTAGAGAATTATTGTTTTTTTTTATATAATATATATAACTACTATAAGGGCCCGATCTTAGTTTTCGTGAGGTTTTTGGGGGTCCTGAACATTTTTACTTAGAGAACCCGATCCCGTTTACTTAGTACGTTTTTGAGATATAGCAACACCGGTGATGATCACCAGTGGTGATAAATAGCAAAATTCTAATATAAAATGCAAAAATGTATTAATAAAAAGTTATTTGATTTACATGAAACCTTTTATTAATCAACGAATATCAATTTACTTACATCATATATTTTTTACTATTTAATACTATATACTATAATAAACAACCATATACTTTATAATTATTTTTATATATAAATACAAATAATTACTATATAAAATAAAAATTTTGTTAAGTAAATTAATTTTGTATAACAAATAAATTATTTAAATACAAAGTACATTTGCTTTAAAATTTTATATAAATTAAATAAGCCTTTATTAATAAATTTTTTATTTTATTTTATATTTTTGTAAAAAAATTAAATTTTTTGCAAAAATATAACATACAAACTTTGTATATCTAGTACCAACATGTTGTTAATATTAAAATTACATACCATTGATACTATTCAATCCAATAGATCGGTTTAGGAAGGAATATCATCTAAGCCGTTTAAAAAACCTCTGCTGTAATCCTCGGCACCCATTGCTTGAAAGACTGCAAGTTCAGATGACTCTATGTCCCTAGTAGGATCTCTTTCGGGTGACAAGAAGTCAGACGGCTGTTCTTCAGTAAGAGGTTGTGTTAACAATATTAATCTACCATCAGTATCAGAATATGCACCCTCATCCTCAATTTCTTCTTCAACTTCATCCTCGCCTTCGTCAAAATCTTCAAGTTCATCATCAAGATCTTCATCTTCATCTTCTTCATCCTCCTCTTCTTCACCGTCATCATATTCCGAGTCGTCATCTGCGATGTCATCTGTAGCCACTATTTCCTCATCCTGTATATTGTTGATGTAAATTCTAATATCATATTAATCGGAAAATAAAATTGATCAAAAGTTAATATCCTCACAGAATAACTTTCTCCTGATTTAAATCTATAAACACCAGGAATAGGCGTTCGCTTGCATTTATTTTTTATTGCTTGTAACTTTATATAAATAAAATTATTAAATTAATATTAAGAACTTGAAGATGAAGCATGGGCATAAATTTGTAATCGAAATAATACTTGGGCTTCATACTCCTCCTCTTCTTTATCCAAGGCAACTGCCTCGTTTACCATAGCATGCCTATACCAAGAATGAACAACTGTTCTGGGTTCAAGAGAAGGTGTCCAAAGGTGAGGGAATGACATCATGAAATTTCAGATAATGAATTCAACGATATGTCTTCAGTATTTATACATAGAGTTGATGAAATTCGATTGGTCAATCATTCGAATAAATACGCGAGTCGCGATTTTTGTTATATTTAACATTAAAGGAAAATGGTTAGAATTTATTTACGTCCTGATCAACTCGAAATTCAAAAAACTACAAGAGAAGAAACAGATATAACGGAAGAAGGACTCATTTTGTTTGATTTACAAGGTGATATTAAAACTATTGATCCGAAAGTTTCAAAAATTGGATCATTGACATTTGAGAATGTAAGTTCAATCTAGGTACGCGTAATCTTGGTTAATGAACTTGTGCATAATACTTTTTATGCGTTCTATAATGTATTTATGATGTTTATGTTTTTAGGGTATCCCGATTCTTCAAGTTGGTCAATGGTACATTACAGGAAAAGTTACGGAACTAGAAAAACCTATAATGGTTATTAAAAAACGTGAAACCACTCACCCGACTGATTCTCCTGGAAGGAGAGTAGAATCATTAATTGCAGAAAGGCTAGAAGATCTGAATATTATGGATTCTCACGAAAATATTGATTATGATATAGTTCAAATATTTAAAAAAGCCTATACGTTTACTGCAAGACCTGTACCTATGATTAGGGTTGGTAAAGTCCTTAGGTCCGGGACTTTAGGACCTGGTCTTTAAACCTGGTCTTTAAAGACCAAGTCCAATTTTAAGGACCTAGTCTTTAAAGAGTCCTAATATACAAATTTATAATTGCATAATTCTGGAATATATATATACAGTATAATTTCAATAAAGTTTTAAATGCATAGTCTAAAGATCATAATCATTTATTTAATGTATATAATTCACATAACGATAATATTGTTATTACACATTTTAACGCTAATAGGTACACGACTGAAAAAAAACATGAAAATTTTTAAATATTGCGCACGATAAAAAACTTGCAATATTTAAATACTGCGTTCGACTAAAAAAACTCCACAATTTTTTAAAATACTTAATTGATTTTTATTATTTGGATCTTGATAAGGGTGTCCGAAATTGATAGGCCTACCGAATAATTGATTGTAGGGGCAGTTAAATGCAATTTTTCAAGCTCAATTAATTAATTGGTAGCACAGTCACAATTAGTCAATTAATTGTAGATAATATCAGATATCGTATATTCACCAATACGATATGATTTTTGATTTTTCGTTTAAAAGATCAGGTTACACCAGCGAAAGAAATTTGAATTTAATTGCAATTATTTCGTCATTAATTGGGTTTCAATTAAATTTATGATGATTTTAATTGATTTTAATTGTATGACGTACAGCAAAAATTAATTTAATAATTTTTCGGCAGGCCTGGCCAAAACCTGTATACAGTAGTAACTTTGGTAGAAATTAACTATACTAATTGGTAAGATTTTACCAACTTAAAAACACTACAATATATATACGTAGTATATATATATATATATATAGTACACCCTCTCAAATTCGATAATTTAAAATACCAATGGCCTGCTGCTACATGATCACAAATAAATATAATTGGCTGGATTATATTCCTTATATGCCGTCAAAGGCAGATCGACATTTTAAAAAAAATCTATACCTCAACTTTCACAGCTCATATATCGATGAATTTTGATGCGATTTTAATGATTAAATATTCAAAAGAAAGCTTAGAACTTACTCTTTCTTTTGAATATTAAGTCATCAAGCTAGCTTCCAAATTCATCGGGATATGAGCTGTGAAAGTTGAGGTATAGATTTTTTTTAAAATGTCAATCTACCTGTAATCTGTTGCACAAAACCCGATCTGAGCCAATCAAATCGATTTATATTATCTGTCAATATAGATATCGATCGGACACGGGGATAATCAGGAGGAGTTGGAAAGATTGAAAAAAGAACTTGCTAGCGGGTTATCGATTTTGACAGGATCGGGATTGAGAGGGTATACTTAGGGATGTATTACATAAATTATTTTGTTACGTTTCATGTAAATTACATTGTAACTTACGAAATTGTAACTTTACATTGAATAGCGCATTGTCACATGATAATTTTACCGATATTACAAAAGTTTAGCCAGCGCTAATAGATATCCATTATTATGTTCGGAATTGTAATTTTTTATTTATTTTTAATGCAAGCATTATAAAAATTTTTGCAAAAATTTATTCACACGATAAAAATTACATGTAATTTTGATTAGAAGATTACACAAAATTTCGTAAAATAACGTAAAATTACAGTAATCATCTGTATATGAGTATCGCCAAAAGAAAACCCGACAATTTAAATATAAACTATATTTAAATTGTCGGGTTTTCTTTTGGCGACACTCATATATATAAATTATAGGTTGCGTATAGTTTTCTAAATGCACGACTATTTGAGAGTTCTATATACTGTAAATGCACATCCTCTCTAAATGAACGCTGGAAGTTAGGGAGTTTGGCTTATATGGGAATTCTATTCCTGTTTCTCACAAAGAAAAAACTCTATTTGGCATGCTGCATATATTACATCCAATAAGATATCACAAGATTTTTACTATCATGTGCTTGGTAGCACAAACGCGCTTTTACGCGATATATAAATTCCCGAATTTTGTGATTCATGTTTGCGAAGCTGTCTTTATAAACTTTACAAGGCTTCAAGATAAAAACATGTTTATATTCGTGGTAGCTGAAGGAGTGGAAAAAGTCCAAATTGAATGTGACCTTACAGATAACATTCAAGACCTAAGAACTCTGATCGCAAAGGAGTTTAAAAATAAACGGTATCCTCCTGAAACGCAGAGGCTTTTTTTTGGTGGTAAACAATTAGAAGACGGGTTTACTCTCTTTCATTACAATATAAGGCACCAAAGTACTGTCCAACTGTTTAAAAAAGTTGTTATTACTGAAGAAATTCTCGAACCAAATCTTCCTGCAACGTCATTACAAGAAGCATCTTCAAGTTCCAATAATGAAGATAACGAAGTACATGTCGAACCGACTTTAGTAATACAGCCTGCTGAATATGAGGAAGAATATGTTTGTAACGAATGTAATAACAATGCGCGGAAGAAATGTAAAGAATGTGGTTGTAATGTTTGCGGCCAAAAAGATGACGAAGAACACACGGTTGTATGTGATGAATGCCAATACTATTTTCATTTTAAGTGTTTAAAACCTCCTCTAATAACTCTTCCCGAGGACGATTGGTATTGTCCAGAATGCAAACATAATGATAATGATGTCATTCTAGCTGGGCAAGGGCTTGACTTAAAAAAATCAAAAAAGTCAAAAATGCCATCTGCGACTCAAACTAAAAAATGGGGCGGCGGAGTTGCTTGCATGGGTCGTAGTAAAATATGTGAGATAGTTGATCCCGAACACTTCGGTGCCATCCCTGGTATTCCTGTTGGATACTCGTGGAAATACCGCCTCCATTGTTCAGAGTCAGGTGTTCATCGTCCTCTTGTTTCTGGAATTGCTGGAAGGTCTGATGTAGGAGCGGTGTCGATCGTATTAAGTGGTGGTTATCCAGAAGACAAAGATGATGGTGAAGAATTCGTTTATACAGGTTCTGGTGGTCGCGATCTAAAAACCGGTAACAAACGTACGGCACCACAAACTTCAGATCAAGAACTTACCAAATTTAACATGGCACTTGCTCGAACATGTAACGCGCCTACTGATGAAAGAAAAGGCGCAAAGGCTAAAAATTGGAAAAAAAGCAAACCAATTCGAGTCTGTCGGTCAGCAGGATTAAGCAAGCATAATCCAAAATATGCACCAGAGGATGGTATACGTTATGATGGTCTATATAAATTGGTTGAATATTGGCGAGAAAAAGGAAAGGCAGGCTTTTATGTATGGCGGTTTAGGATGCGTCGTGATGATGAAGAACCGGCTCCGTGGACTAAAGAGGGGAAAAAGCGAATTACCGACTTAGGTTTGAAAATGTATCTCCCCGAAGGTTTCGAGTTTAAGAAACGTTCCCGAGACGATTCAAAGGATGCTAAAATCTCTAAAAATGGATCGTCTAGTGGTAGCACCTCGTCTAAGAAAATTAAAATCGATCAAAAATACGATCCACCTGCCGCATTAACCAAGCTGATTAACAACGATAAAAAGAATGATCGCGCATGGAAGATTGTTCTTTCAAAGGAATACAAGACTTTAACTGAATTCATTTCAATTGTCGCTGATGAAGAATTCAAATGTCCCGTTTGTTTAGAACTTGTTCAAGCGCCTATTACAACCCCTTGTACACATAACGTGTGTCGCGATTGCCTTCAACGCGCATTTAAAGCTGACGGCCATAAATGTCCGCAATGTCGCACTGAATTCAATCCAAATCCGGATCTTTTTCAAGTTAACGAGAAACTAGTAGCGGTACTACGTGAAATTATACCCACTTACTCTTATTCTGATCAAAAAAACAAAAAAATTAAGGCTTAATCTGTTTCAATCTTTTTTTTTTACTGAGAGCAAAATAAAGTAAAGATTTTGTATCTACAACACAAAACTAGTTTTGTGTTTTGTTTCCTCTTATGTAATTAACCAAATTTATTAAACAAAGTCTTGAGTATTCCTGCCCATAATAAAATTTAATGTTCCTGCCCATAATAAAATTTAATGTATAAGAAACATTATAGAAAATTAGCATATTTAGCATTTGAATTTTAATTACTGTAAATGATCTGATCGTAAGTTTACGATTAGAAATTCTTGAAATTTAAAATAAAGATCTCAAGAACTATAGTACTGTTGGTTGCGATTTTGTAAACAATTTATTTCAGTGATGTTTTTTGAACACCTTTGGATTGGATGTTCAATACAATCGTGATTCTTGGACATAAAAAATTTTGAACCCCGTGATAAGTTATCGATTCCTAAATTTACGGGTTAGCTATACTGGCAGGACCCGTAAAATTTTAGTTTTAAAAACTCGAATTTTTTTCTGAAAATTTAATAAATTTTGATTTAAATTTAATTAAGTTTAGATAATTTTAATTTAAATTTAGAAAAGTTTTATAAGTTCAATCTTTTATTTTGTTAAAATACTTAATAATTCAGTGTTCAATTTTGCCGATTGTTATTAAATATAAAATTAGGAATTAAATCGCACTAAGTCACATAAATTTATGTCTCTAGATGTATGTCTTCGGAATTAAATAAATTAAGTTTGTATAAAATTTTATTAAAAATAAAGTACGGATAAGCAAATCAAATATTTTTTGAATCTACTGCGGCCCACATTATAGTTTACTGTCAGAATTGTGAAATTCCACCTGCGCAGCATCCATTCCTACGTATCACAAACTTAATATAATATGGAAATCTTTAGAAATTTTTAGTTAAAATTGATAATTTTAGATATAAATTCTTTAGAATTTAAAAATTTTAGAAAATTTGAGTTGATACTTGAAATTTTATATCTAAAATTTTACGGTGGGCATTTTTTACTTAATGAATGACTGTAAAATTCTTACTGATCTTGGGCAAATGACCGATTCCGGCCCATCCAACCATGGTTCTGATGCATTTCGACCCGGAATTTTGGGATCTCCCAAGTAATGATGCGAACGGCTCGGCTCACGGCTAACATTTACTAAGCTGAGTTGATCCTTCAGCTCTGCAACTAGAGCTGAGCCGTTTATAAGCCGATCAACCTCAAGCTGAGCTGAGTAATAGTATGTAATATGATTTCATGATATACTTCTGCTTTTCTATGCAAAAATTTTTTTCAATAAATGAAATACATGTAAGTGATTGGGCTAGAAAGCTATAAAGTGTGAAATAGCTTTGAGGATTTACTGAATTATTCAGCAATTGTATAATTTAGGTCACGAAACTATATGATATACTATTGGCTAATGGTTATGTGTTATTGACCTATCAGCTTGCGACTCCATGTTCGGCTTCAAGGTCTTTAGCCAAGCTGTTTCTGGAGCTGATACTTTATTAGTAGGCCCTTAGCCAATGCCGACAGTTGGCTTGCGGCTTAGCCTTGGCCATTTGCATCACTATGTATAAGTTCAGAATTACAGCACAAAAAAATTGTCGATAACCAAATAATGTCATTGTTGATGTTGATAAGTTTTGACATCAATCCTAAACTGTTAACTTATGTACAATTCCAACATGGTAATTTATCGATGCAATTTTTTAGAACCCATCTAGTAAATCAAGCATATTCAATACCAATAATAATTTCTACTGAACAGAGATTACTCATTTTACATAATTCTCATTCTCTCTATCGAATAAAACCCTGCTAATTGATTGGAAAATAGTAAAAGAAACCCATTATTTGAACATTTAACATATTTCTAAATTTAATATTATTAAATATAACAAAATTTGTATTTTTTACTGTAAAGATCAAAACCTAATTATACATGGATTAAAAAAATAATTGATTTAGTAAATTTCTAAACCACATATGTGGGGTGTCTCATATTAAAGGGCCTATTTTTTCACAATTCTTTCCGACAATCACTTGAACCAAATTTTGCCGAAAAAACTTCCTAACAAAACCAGTAAAAACCAACTAGTTAGAAGTACATAAGATGTGAAAAGAAGGACTGTAAGTCAGCACCTGTTGTTTAGAGGTAGTTTTTATACACTACCTGCTAACAGGCTTAGAGTTTATCACTTATTGCAAACCTGGTGCTTGTTATTTAGAGATAGTTCTCATATACTACCTGCCAACAAGTTCAGAGTTTATCACTCACCAACAAAATATAAGTAGCGCAGTTTTGGCTGGAAGGAAAACTTTTTCTGTTGTTTCTAGTAACTCACTTTCCTTTAAGTGGTATTAAGAGGTCTTTCTCTCTTTGTTATTTGGTACCGGTTCTACAAAAATTTTTTAATAAAAAGTGGGCATTTGGCTTACTCCTTCCAAAAAATCAGCATTGTTTACACCTACCAAATCAGGATGAACTCAGTAGAAGGCAACTATGTGTTTTGTTGTTTTGCAAATACAGTGCTATGGTACAAGGAAAAGATTGCCACCTCCGTTTAGAAGATACCCGAGTCGAGTTGGTGCTCAGAACGAGTCCTAAAGCTAAACTGAAGGTTTACAATCAAAGATATAGTAATTAGTTGCAATTATTATATAATTTTTATCCTTATGCCTGGCATGAGCTATAATAGTATATCATGGCTATCTTTCTTTTTTTTCGCTTTTTTCATCTTTGTTCATTTATATTAGACTATTTTAGAATTTGTTGAAAAGTTTTTTTTCCCACCGTGAAGTGTTTTTTTTTCTAAAATGTTTATGTTTTTTGTAAACATGGCTTTATTTTTTATATGAATAAGGGTTTAATTATATTGTCAGGCTTAGATAGAAGAAGTCTAAAAGAAGAGGAAATAGTCATGACAGGTGGCAAGGTCCACTGTTGAAAGCTGGGTCATATCCAATTGTAGAAGGGGTCTGGAAGGAGGAAAATCTTGCTATAGCAGGTCAAACATAGATACCAATTGGGGTAACTGAGTTAGTTTTAACTTGTAATTTAGATAAATATTAGGTTTAATGCTATGGCGCTTGTTGTTTAGAGATAGTTCTCATACGTTATCTGCCAACAAGTTAAGAGTTTATTACTTATCTTCTGAAATGCAACTTAGTATAAAATTTTACAAGTCTAGAAGATTTGTACAAAGCCTAATAAAGTTAAGGTATGACTGCCAAATTTATAAAAAAAATAAAAATAAAAATAAAAGGGCCCATTTTGCAATTTTTCAAAAAATTAGTTTTTATTAGATTTATATAAATTTTGACACAATTAACATTTTTCAATTATAAATGAAGAAGCTAACAATTATTTTCTAGAAGGAGGTGTCAAAAAATTAAAATTTTATATATAATATCTAATCAATTATATATTAAAAACTAGAAGAAAGTAAGCCTCTGATAAAAAAAAATCAGGTAATAAATAACACTGCCCTAAACAACTATATAGCTTGGGACCAAAAAAAAAAACTTATATTTAAAGAGAATTTAATATGACCTGCACTTAAAGAACATGTACTTAGAAAGAGTCAACTGTATATTTTTAATTTTAGTAAAAAATAAAAAAATATTATAAATTTTTTTTAATATAGATAGATATACAAAATTATTATTTTTAAACTATTTAGTAGCAAATTTTTTAATAAAATGATTTTTGAAAAGTTTATTTTAAAATTTATTTAAGCTTTATTTTCTTATTGATTGTCGGGATAATACTAAAATCAGATAATGCTGAAATTTTAACTTATTTTATTATGAAATTTTAAAAAATTTTCAGGCCTTTTCATTAAGGATTTTTTTTTAGAGTTAGATTAGAGTTTAGAGTTAGTGTTGTTAGTAAAAAAGTATATATAAATTTTAATAGATATTATAGATTTAAATGGGGACCTTAAATTTTAGCATTTTAGTATCATTCATAATATTTATTGTCGCGGATGATGGTGAAATTGGATGATCGTGAAATCTGGAGGCCTTAATTTAAAAATATAAACCCTACTAAAACCCACCTATACTCTTTTATTATAAACTCTAACCCTAAATCCTAATCGAAATCTAAAAAAAAAAGTATAAAAAAATATACACTAAAAATTTTAAAAATTGTATATTAAATAGGGTTTGATTTCACGATCATCTGATTTCACCATCATCCGTGACATTTATTAAATAAAAATTAAAAATTTTTATTTTATTAATAATATATTTAAATTTTATTGCTTTATTTTTAATTTTAACAAAGATATTATTTTTTTTTTTTGAATTAATTTAGCAATTATGCTAATACTTTATTAGGCTTAAATACTATATTTATTTTATATAAGTATAACTTTATAGCTTATTAGCCAAATTTAAATTACAAGTATTAACAAAAGTTCAATTTAATTTGCTATAGTAATTTCTCTTCTTTATAATTTTTTTTTCACTTTGATAATCTTATACAAATTTATTGAATTACTTAAACTTGGCTTAAGTTTTATATTCAATATACATATTTAGCAATATTCAGCTATTCGAAAAGTGTCTAAGTATAGTTATCATACTGGTATTTGCCAACAGAACCCACATATAGTACTATCTGTATTTAAAGAACTGTTCTAGTATGGTTTTAGCTACTATATTAAAACTATATCTATTCTCTTCTAATTTTTTCTTCTTTCTAGAAACAGCCAATAACTTAAAATAAAAAGTGAATTTTTAAACAGAACAAAAAAGAAAATGACCAGAAAAAAGAAAAAAACAAAAAACAAAAAGAAATAAAATGAAATCCTAATGATACTAATAATATCTGTGCCAGGTTTAAAAAATTATATACTGTTAATTTATAATATATATGAACTTATTCTTTTGGCAGCATCTATAATTTATGTTAAACCAGTACTGTATTGTATATAAATAGAGAATTTTGATTATAATATTATATAGTATTATCTTTAAGATTTCTATAACA